AACTGTCACATAACTGAGCATACAAGCAATGTTTTCTGCTACCTCCAGGTGGTTAGGAGACTCAGGCTCAGTCTGACAGAAAATGATTTGGCTTTAGTAACACACATGATCATCACATTACACAGGCATGAAGTAATCAGCCTAAAGAAAACTAACTAGTATAGGATTTGGCTGCACAGATCGCCAAGCAGAAATATATCAGTTCACTGTCTATAACCAATCAAATACAGTAGCTCTGCCTCTATCATCAGCATTTTCTATTACTTCCTCTAAGAAACAATTTTCTTATGATCTAAACATTTCCTCAAACATCACCACCTTTTTTTATAAAAAAACCAAACAAACAAAAACCCAAAAAATACCCTAAAAAACCTGCTTCTTTCACCTAATCATCCTTATGAAATACATACAGCACAAGGAACAGAAAATGCATGCTGAGAAACACATATTGCTCCACCTCCCATAAGAAAAAGTAGGCGACTTTTCTAACTCTCAGAACTTCAAATTATTTTCTCATTTAGAGAAGGAAAGTGCACCAGGAGACCCCTCAGGAGTATATCTTGAAAGGCCTTCAAATGCAGTAGCAGGCAGAACAATACCTTTACATGATCAGAAGAATAACACAGTTTTCATACAGAACCAAGACTGGTAACACACAGCTTCAAAGTATTGATAGATTCAGTTTTGTACTTACTAGAGTGTGGACACAGTTAACATGCAGCTTTAGCTAAAGTCCTTCTTTCTTACAGACCACCAGCTAAATTTTATTTCCACCTTTCCTGGATGTTAGCATTAGGAACCTTTCTTACAGCACAGCAAGTTGCAGCAACTCACTTATCTGAAGAAAAACTGTTGGCTGCATTAGTCAGACCAGCTGGTCGACCCAACTAGCTGGGCAGTGAGGGCAAGAGCCTGGAGCCACAGGGCAAGACTTTTTTCTGCTGCTGGAATTGCAATCCTTAGCTGTTTTTTCACACCCACCTGAGCTCATTTAATGGAAAAATGAGAAAGGCTTCTTATTTCTTCTGCTCTTTACTCCCCTCTCACTACTCCCCAGTTTTCTCTCATTTCTTCTGTATTTTTCTTCTATTTCTCACCCAGAAGGCCTTCCTCTCATGCAGCAGTACAGGTGATTGTCAGACCTTCTTATGAGCCAAATGCAAACAGCTGCAGTTTAAATTACCTTTTTTTTAACTAGTTAGAGTACCCTGCAGATAATACTGCAAAGATATTTACTTCTGAAATCTATTTACCGGTTCTGAAATATCAATGAGAAATACGAACATATGAAATAGCCACAGAAAAAACCAACATGTATAGACAGGATTCACATACTTTTCCACTAATGATTCAACGTGCTGTATGGCAAAATCAGTCTCCTACCTATCTGCTGCAGTGTGCACCATTAATTTAAGAATGTTGTGACAGAAATGATTGTTAAATTCTAAACACATTGGGTAGTGAATTGCAGTTTATTTTTCTTCATCCCTAAGCACATAAAATTACCAATTGCTTATGAGATAGATCTAGGTTTATGGGCCTCATAGGATGCTTGAAGTTATCTACACTATTATACTGTGAATGACAACCTGTTTGAATGTTGAACAATACAGAAACAACTTTTAGAACAAATTCTAGACCTGATTTCTGATAAATTTATTATTTATTTATTTACACTTTCTGGTATCTGTTGGTTCAAAATGATCAGGTCAATCTTGAGCTAAATTATAATCACTTGAAGATTTGTTTCAACATGAATTAACAAATATTTGGCATTTTTAAAAATCATAAATCCCATTATAACAATATAGCCCACCTAAGAAAATTCCTACCGTGAATCCAGAAGTTGTATAATGCATTGAGAGCTCAAGTTGATCGTTTACAGCAAAGTTTGAAGTTCATAATAAACATCACAAAAGCTATTAATATCACAAACTTATTGATTTATGATAAGATGTATGTCTCTATTATTGCCATATTGGCATTATTCAGAAGCATTACCAACAACAAACAATTTGGAAGACACCTATTCCTTGAGTACTTAAAAAACCCAAACGTGAGCAGGTTACACCTATTGATTGTTAAAAATGGCCAAAACGAGGACTGAATAAAGAGTATCAGAGAAGTATAATATAAAGGATAAAAGATAAACACTAGATAGAAGAAAGGTTAGGAAAGTACAGTGTGAAAGAACTTGAGCAGGCAAAGAAGTTAAAATTTTATTGACAAATACCTTTAAAGGAAGCTACAAACAATAGAACCAACAATCTGACACTTACTTTTTTTCATTTCAAAGTAAGAGGTACTTTTACATATACTCACACACGCTTCAGCAAGGCAAGAACATTGTTGCTTTTTTTAAATTGAGAGTGTATATTTTGACATATAATTCTCCCCAAATTAAGTTAAAATAATTCAACCTTGAGAGCTACATCTCCAGCACTATAATAACGAGATTTTAGAATTCTTTGCTTCAAGCCTATCTACTGTAATAGGGCTAGTCAATAAACAATAAAAACATTTTCCAAAAGATATGCAAGCAAATAAAATCCTCAAAATATCTGTGGAGTTCTGGTAGGCTCTTATCAAAGGAATTCAGGAACTGTTCAAGTTAAACACCAAAACTTTGACAATGTAGAAATATGGGGGAAAAATAAAAAACAATTCTTGATCTGTGTAATGTATATAGCCCTAAATGTTATCCAATAATTATTGTTTCCTACCCCAGGTAAAGAAAAAAAAAAAAGACCCACAGTAGCATAAGATATTTTTCCATTCCTCTATTGCCTGATCTCTTCGAAAAGCAGGAGAATCAGCACCACTACCAGAAACCTCTCCAATTAGGAGAGTTGTTATAAATTTTATAGATGTTTCATGTCAAAAGAACCATTTAAAACTTGGTTTAAGCCTTAGTCCCAAATGTTTTATCAAAAAGGAACATTCTGGTTACCATTCTGTTATTGTTCATAACCTTGCTTATAACTATCTTTGGAGGTAACCGGCACTACCTAGCTTGGGAATGTCATTCAGATCAGAAACATATTAATGATTCAATGTTATTTAATTCAGATACTATTAAAAGAGTTACTACAAAACACCAACTGAAAAATGAAAAAGGTATATTAAAAAAGCAGAAGTCACAATCCGGAAAAAAACAGGTCCTTAGAACACAAAAGCAACCATACTTAATCAGACCAAAGGTCAATTTAGTTCAGTATCCTGTCTTTGTCAATAGCTAGAAGTCTGTTTCTAAGGTACAGTGTAAATATGAAAAAAATATTTTAAGAACCTCAGCCTCCAAGCATATTCAGATTTGCCTCATGAAAATGGAGTTAATCAATTAAAATTAAATAAGCATTTCTATTATCTTCAAAGCATATGGCCACTAATACTTTATTTTTGCAGGAAATTATAAATATACACTTTGGCAACTTTTTTTTTCTATATAAATAGCATCTCTGTAGAAAACCCAAATAATTTTCTTACAAATTAATCATAAAAAGTGAGAAATAAAGAGATATGAAAAAAAATTCAATTTTCTACTCAAATAGTACAATTACAAATAAGTGAGCAAAATATAAAAGTTTAGTGTTTCTTCTAAAAAGATAAGTAAATACATGGTCATCAGCATAGACATTTCAAAATAAACATCTTACCTCATATGCATAGCCCAAGGAAGACAAATTACTCCTTAAGTAGCCAAGTTTGTACACAACTACGAAGACTAAGCAGCGAGTTATTTCCAAAATTCCTGCTTTGGGCCTAGAAACAAGAAGTAATTCAGATTAACATCCATTTATTTTCTTCTTTTTTAACTTCATTGAAAAAGAGAATGTAGAAATAATCTTTGATGACCTGTACTTACCCCAAGTCATCTTTCTTAACCTTACAGTTCAGCTTTTATCTACCTTATGCTGGAGGTGAGAGCATACATACTCAGAAACTATTTATACGTTCACAGGAATGTAGTTGTATATACAGCTATTGTCTTTTGATCTCAATATTACAACAACAAAATTCAGAAAACTGCTACATGGGTATTTCAGAATCTTTTCATCGGTTTATGTCTATAAGTTTTTACTAATTCACTTTGAGTCCATAAGTTATACACATCTCTGGCATATTGGCAGATTTATACCCATCCTGAAATCAACATACTGAAATATTCCTGAAATACTCCTTTCTGAAAAAATAATGAACAGCAGCTACAAACCAGAACTGGCACCTCAAACTCAAAGGAAGCTTCTATTCCACATTTCTGTTCTACTAGGGCAAACAGTTTCTCTTTAATAAACTTTATGTGCTATTTACTCTTCTGTAGGGTCATAATGCCCAGACAGACTACTTCCATAGTGTACCCTTCACTGGGTTGGTGTATTCAAGATCCAGTTTGATTTGAATCCATACAGATTACATTTAGTCTTAAGTCCACACCATCCTTCACATATTTTGAGTCTATTCCGAGCTACACTGTGTACTTTTCACTGGGGTATCTGACATCTATGGCATGCTACACAGGACTGACATGATATGACTGCAGTTTGAGGTTGAAGTGCCTTGGGAGAGCCTGTAGGTCTCACTGGCCAGTCAGTGTCCCGGAACCAGAGATGTGAGCCCAACAAATACAGGCATGGAGAGGGACATGAGTAGCCTGCCACAAAACTCTTCTGCAAGGAACAATGTAGATATAGACATTAATTGCTATGGGAAGACTCCTGGGTTTAGGGGCTTGCTATTATGTCTTCCTTTCTGCCCAACAGACAGTAACTTAGGTTGTATCTGTATTTCTTTACCAAGATAACTTTTTACACACTTGAGATTTTCATATAATAATAAATGATGCATACGGAGAGAAAAATAAAAATTGCGTTTAATCTTGCCTGTTCTCCAGAAGTAGTCCAAAAGAGGTGAGGGACAGAATGATAAAGCCAATTCTCAGGAGAATGGTTCCCTGTGATAACATCTGTTAAAAAGTAGACAATGAATTCATTTACAGTAATCTTCCGAAGAGAAATTAAGGTTTAGCACAACAGTAGCTTCAACATACTCACTCAGTGTCTGCTTATATTGGGTTTGTGTGGCAAGGTTTTGGTAGTGGGAGGCTACAGAGGGGGTTTGTGTGAGAATCTCCTCCTGTCTGACAGAGCCAATGCCAGCCAGTTCCAAGATGGACTTTCCACTGGCCAAAGCTGAGCCCATCAGTGACTGTGATAGCACTTCTGGGATAACATATTTAAGGTGGTGAAAAAACCCTGTGCAACAGCAATTGCAGCTGGAGAGAGTGAAAACATGTGAGATGAACAGCTCTGCAGACACCACGGTCAGTGAAGGAAGAGGAGAAGGGGGTCTAAATGCCAGAGCAGAGATTCCCCTGCAGCCCATGGTGAAGACCATGGTGAGGACCATGGTGAGGCAGGCTATCTCCCTACAGCCCATGGAGGTCCCCTGTGGAGCTGATATCTACCCATAGCCCATAAAGTACCCCATGCCAGAGCAGGTGGATGCATCCAAAGAAAGCTGTCACCTTGTCAGAAGCCCACACTGGAGAGGGCTCCTGGCAGGACTTGCAGACCCATGGAGAGAGAGAAGCTCATGCTGGAGCAGGTTTGCGGGTAGGACCTGTGACCTCTTGCGGGGATCTACACTGGACCAATCTTCCTGAAGGATCATACCCCATGGAAGGGACCCACACTGGAACAGTTCATGTAGAACTGTAGCCCATGGAAAGGACCCATATTGGAGGAGTTTGTGGAGGACTGTCTCCTGTGGGAGGAACCCCACGTTTCAGCAGAAGAGTTTGAGGATGAAGAAGCAGCAGAGACACTGTGTGATGAACTGACTGCAACCCTCTCTCCTCCTCCTGAGCCACTCAGAGGAAGGAGATAGAGAAAATGGAAGTGAAGTTGAGCCTAAGAAGAAGGAAGGGGTGAAAGGACGATGGTTTTTAAGATTTGGTTTCATTTGTCATTATCCTACTCTAATTTGATTGATAATAAATTAATTTCCTCAAGTCGAGTGGTGGTAATTGCTGAACAATATCTCCGTGTCCTTATCTTGACCCACGAGCCCCAAGATATCTTTTGTCTATCTCATCCAGTTAAAGAGTGGGAGTGATAGAGCAACATTTGGTGGGCACCTGGTGTCGAGCCAGGGTCAAATATTGTTTTTAAAGTGATTTCTTTCTTTAAATCTTTAAACAAAAATATCTGCTCTGGATAGCACACTGATCTGGAGTAACAAACAAGCAGTTGTTTCCTGAATTCTCTATTTCCAAAATAATTTTTAAGCTATTCCCTTCTACACTAGGTGTCATCTCCAAGTTACTGGACTCCCTTATGCCTTTACCCAAGAGGGAATAAATAAATTTCTAGATAAAAATCCCAGCATCCCTGTTCTTTTTATTCTCTTACGTTAGCAGGTCTTTACAGTAGTCATCTATGAATATCAACAGATAACAAAAGCAATACACTGGTGAGAATAAGAATTCACATGACATTACAATCTAAACATATCTAAGAAGAAAGAAAATTAATGTCATCTCTCCATGACAACTTGATACTTGGTTCCAAATTCAGCAAAAATCTTTAACTCATACCATTAACTTCCATCAGCCTTAAAACACTAACAGGCATGTTAATTCTTGGATGAAAAGCAGCATGAGGATTTAAAAATTATACAAAGAAAATTCAGGAAAATATATTTTTTTTCTTTATGAAGTTTGATTTTTTTTCTTCTCATTTATTAAATATGTTTTGTATCCTACACAGCTGCCTTTGAAAATCAAATATTTAATCAGTTTTCTTGTTCCCTCCCTGACTTCCTTTCAAATATTAGTTTTGAAAAGCCTTTGTTTTTGCATTCAAAAAATAACAAAAAACCCAAAAGAAAAGTAGTGGATCTTGCTGAGTTATAGGAATCCCTTCTGGCTTCAACAGAAATAAGGCATATTAACAGCATCTTGCACTTCAAAAATGCAGGCATTGGAAAAAATAAAATCTATTAATGTCTGCCCTGATTTCAATAAATCCCACTGAGTGACATGCCCACTTTACTTCAGTGGTGGCCCCTACCCCTCAAAGAGATCTAAGGTAAGTATCTGTGAGCGTGGGAGGCCACAGGAGGATATTCTCAAGTTTTACAGCTGTGTGAACTTACAGTGCCCATGTTTGCAAAACACATCAAACCACACGCTCAGGGTGGGTAGGTTTCTGTTGTTTTACAAAGGAATCACAAGCACCTACTTAGATATCCTTAACAAACAGCTATTGAATTAAGAAAACACAATCCCAGTAATGAGTGAGCTAATCAGCAGCCTCCCCAGTTTACAAGCCAGATCACACTTCTCACAACCGACACCTGTCAAGCCACTGTTGCACACATTTAGACCAGGATAGATCAAACTCGTTACTGCACTGCTACGTTTCCAATCTGTTCTAGCCCTCCTTATGATAAACTTAAAAAACCTCAGACTGATGATTACCACCATCATCTACTTACATGTAGGCTTTACATTTTTCTTATGCTCTTAATCTGGACTTCTGCTATCTGCCACCACAGGAGATGGGATATTGAGCTAGACATTGCAACCTGAGAGGGAACTCAGTATAGCAGTTACGGGTGAGACTGTCACTCAGGTCAAGAAAGCAAAAAATGCTCTGGCAGGCTTATAATCCTTTATCAAGTTTTGTATTACTTGGAATACATTGCAGATTCCAGATACAAGTTTTAAAACTTGTAAATAAAGTATTAAATTGAGGGTGCTCTTTTTGAAAACAGTTTCTAGAATCCCAAAATCCCACAATTATCCTAAGTGTAAAACACTCTCCATTGTTAATCTGAAGCAATTTGTTTTGAAGGGACAAGATTTCTGGACAAAACCTTTTTATAAAAATCAGGCACAGACTCTATTCAAGTTCAATAAAATGAGTAGTTCTTCAACTGTTCATCTAGGGACAGTAAGTTCAACTCCCACTCCATCTTCCTGTAGAAACTGGGTCATACAAAAATTCAAGAAGTGAGCAAAGAAAAACATTATTTGGCACAGGCAAAAAGGAAATCACCCATAAATTTCTTAGAAATGCTTTGACATGTTTTTCAATGATTGTTACTTGTCAAATAAAGAAGTTTGCCAGGGAACTAGAGCTGGAATTCAAGACTTGATTCCTTAGAGACTGTCCTCACTTTTAAGTTGGAGAATTCCACCTGTTTTTAAACCTAATCCTGGCCAGGTGGATCTGATTTTGCTTTTTGTTTCCAGTGCAATGCACTAGCTTCTACAGATTGCCTTAAATATGTACCCACAGTGGTAGGGCACTATTCTGAGAAAAGGAACTTAAGGTTTTTGTATCACCCTTATGCAGGAAAGAGAACTGAACATCAAATCCAAAATTCAAGCAATGACATGTAATTCTTATTGTACAATCTATGGCTGAAATCACATTTCATGAAAAAAAAATAATAAGCCTGCAATAGTTCTGAGAGAACAAATGTTAATATTTGTCATCAGGAAGGATCCAGCATTATCTGCTATCAATGAATGAGGGTGTCTCCAATTTCCAATTTAAAAGGGATTTTACACTTTTCTGCCCTCCCAGTGTTTCCAAGCTGGCTAGCATTGTCATTTGACTCTCCACATTTATCTAACCACTGAAGAAATAACCATAGATTAAGAACTTGAAAGGAAATGAATACATTTCAGTTCAGTTTAAAGATGGATTTCCAGAAAAAAAAAAAAGAAAAGAAAAAAAAAATATAGAAAAACATTTTAAAGTATGTTAGTAAGTCAGAAGAACTGAAGTAACCTTATAATTTAGGAAAATCAAACTCAAGTATAAACAAGCCTTTATCTTTAAATGGTTAAAACACTGAGCCAGGTAGGATCATATTTTACAGATTCTGTTTTTCAGGCCAATTTCCATGTCTTTTCAGACACTCTCCTAGTTGAACCAAAACATTTTGAGCACTGGCTGTTTGTAAAACTTCTTGCAGTCCAGTGCCATCTGTGGCGCAGAATGTGAAGGACTGGAGGACTCCAAAGCATAACTTGCAGATCAGTTAACTGCAAACTGGTGCTATCATCAGATTCACACAAATGCACAACACTGTAATGCCACAATACAGTCAGTGTTGCAGCTTTTCACTTCAAGTCTTCAGCTTTCTGGAGTGCTGAATGGTGAGGCATAAAGCCTTACTAGGAATCATGGAGGTAGAAGGTGTAAGTTTCCCTTAACTGTAGATACACACAGTGCTGTCACCTACAGCAAAAAAATACGTTCCGTCATTTGCTCTTGTAGTCAAGGACTACAAAGAACTTTGCAGTGAAATATACCATGATGCCATTTGGAAATAACAGCTTTTAGAAAACCAGCCACGTAACATACATTTTAGCATTATTAGTTTGCTTCCATAACTTTCTCTTTACAGCTCCAGTGGTATAGTTACATGCTGCCTTGATTCTTTTATTTACTTTCAAACATGTATCACCCTATGAAGTGGATGCTGGCAGCTGAGGCATCCATTTTCTAGGCATTACTTTACCAAAATCAACAAAATAGTCAGTTGGTTATATCACTAAACTAAACATCATATATTATACCTCCACACTGCAAGTTGCAGTGTGAAGAGAATGAATGTGCCTTTTACACCTTCATTAGTGTTAGGATCTTTGTTCCACTTAAACATAATATGCATGGATGCATATATATAAAATAAATGAGTATTTATATACTGGAGTATTCGTATAAACAGAGAAGCCTGTGGGACCACAGCAGGTTCCCCAATTACAAGTCAGCCACAATTTTGCAATGTGGTTATTGGCTGCAATGAAACAGAAAAAAAATATTTCTGTTGGATTTTTATTTCATTGAAAGCTTAAAAAATATCTTGGAGCCTTAAAAAATAAAGAGAGGGGTTAGAGAATTTGGGAGGAAGTGTACATGTCTTTGTAATCAACAGAATTCCACCTCATTATTATTATTCTATGGGTTTTTCATAAGAAAAAATAATTCATTTAAATGAAGGGATCATGTTATTCTAAATGTACTTAGATTAACATAGAAATATTCCAAATTGATTTTCTGTTTAAAGGAACTCAGATTATTTTATTCCTTTTGAAGAATAACTTGGATGCATTTTCTCATCCCTATGTGTTCACTGCTTCAAAAGGAATGATGTCAGCATGTTTCATAAGTTAAAAGATGCCCTGCTGTCGTAGCAGACACTTTTAACATTCAAATGAAGAATGCTAATACAATACTATGACATTTGTATTGTTAGGTGTCTTTTAAAACATTATTTTAACTTAGAATTCCTAAAAATTTGTGAACTCTCAGCAATATTCTATATACAGGACTTGGTGATGTCCTACTTCATGGATATATCAATTGTGTTCTCAGCTTTCAGGAGACTTATCCCTCCCTAGTTTTCGTCTAATTGAAACTGGTCACAGTCATTGCGTTCTAAGCACAGTAAATGTTACAGTATCTATCAATAATAAAAGACACTGCAAAATGTGCTTAAGGTACACTTCACTTTGATTTATGTGATACATGCAGTTCTGGAGCTATGAGACTTTTGCTTTGAATGTACTGCAGTTTTACACTCCTAGCACTCTCACTGGGACTGATCCAAATCCCTTTTCTTCAATGAGCTTTGGATCAGATCTAGATGTGCAGAGCTCAGAAGTAATTTTTATTCTCTGGATATAGTACAGATCGCTATATAGAAAATAAACACTGCATGCTTTCTCCTGTGGAAAATATTATTTTTTTCCTCCTTATTTTGCTCTTTTCATAAGTTAAATGTAGGTCATTCGGACTGAAGGTATATGGTTGCTCTTTACGGATAGAGAAATTTAACACTTCTACAGGGCGTGAGACCAAACACTGAGCAACTGTAATCACTTGAGAAATGTAATAGCTGTGTGCTGTGTCTTATGGATATTATGAAATGGAACTTATACCTAAAAATGAGGAAAACAGTTAGGTTTCTCCATTTATGGAGCTATGCCACAGTTATGACATAATTCATAGCCAGACAGAAAGTTCCAGTTGTATCCATAGACATTTCATAACTCAGTGTAGTGGAAAACTGATATTGAAGAAAGATTTTTGCCAAGTAAAGTTATTCATACACAAGCTTCCTTCTCATGACAGCTTCCCCACTGTACTGCAGAGTGATGCTGGAACTCTGCCTCAGGACCAGCACATTCTACACCCACACTGAAGGTTTATGTCCTGAGATGAGATGCTTCTAGTCCCCTCTGCTCTCCTTCTTATTGTTCACTACCTTATTACCCTGCAGTTTTGTGCAGAGAATTTTCTAGTTATTTTCCTACAATAAGTTCATAAACGGTGGATTTTCAGGATACTTCCTCTATGATTGCATGAATTTAATGATCATCTGGGTCTTGGGTGCATTTTTCAACTTCCCTTATTACTTCAACAGCTGCAGTTATCAGCAGAGAAAATAATTTGGACCATACATTTTTCCTTCCAAGACCAGAAGAATGCAAAAAGAGAAAAGAAAAAAATAGGAAAATACTCATGAGCAGACTCCTTGCTGTTAAAAGCAACAGCAAACAAAAAAAGCAACAACCAACTAAAAACTCCACAGTTGAATCCCTGTGCAAACAGGACTTGTTGCTGATATCTAGAAGCATATCCAGAAAACCTTTCAGAAGCTCCTCTGAGTATAAGAACACTGGGAATCATGGAAAATGTATCTTGTATACAGTAGAAGTAGTTATCTTTACCTTTGGCTTAAGTTCCTGTCCTCAGAAATTTCTTAGAATAGAGTAAGCCTCTATTCTAAGAGTAAGCCTCTTACTCTAAGAGTAAGATGGGTTAGTAAACTCCAAATTCCCTGCACTTGCAGTGTGACCCTTTACAGAGGTGAACACGATGTGTAGAATAACTTAATATCAACCAGAAAAGTAGGCCTGAGGTAGCTTTTATAGTGTATCAAGAATGCTACATAAAATACTCTTTACATTTTTCTCAAAAATTGCATCATTCTACTGGTTTGATGTGCTACACAGAATACATCTAAACAAAATAATAAAAAACAAAACGGCTGTAGCAGCTTGTATATGCAGAGCTGGCAAAGCCACTATAAGCCTGCTGCTACATATCCCAATAAATGATTGCAGGCAGAATCCCTTTCCTGCCCTTCTTGCCCCAGGATCCAAGAGGTATCTCTGAGACAGAAGACCAAAATTTGGACAGGATTTCTGACAACTTTGAAATGGCTCTGTGATCCTCTGGAATCCTTCATGGATGAGCACAGCCATATATACAAAAAAGACTTAATTTCTAGAAAACTGCCTCTTGGCTGGATTCAGACATGCTGGTCATAGGCAAGGCACTGGGGTGCAGCAAGAGGGGTTGCTCTCTGGGCAAGGTGCAGGGGGCTGGTGGCAGTCAGCGGACAGGGCTGTGGCCCAGTGGGAAGAGTGCTGACCCACAGTGGCCATTGAGTTGGACAGAGGATGATAACCACCATTGGCCAAGGGCCAGAGATTGCCACATAAGTGTGCTGGGACAAGGCAGGTTCACAGATGAACAGAGGCTGAAGAACTGAGAGCTCCTTGGCACCCTGACAACAGGCCTATGGCATCATGGATGACACAAACACAAGAAGCTCTTTAACCAAGGAGGTATGAGAAAGAGTTTGAGAAGAAGGCCAAAGGGCATTCTGAAAGATTCTGTCGTGTTTTGGTAGGCCTTCCACTGATTTGTGGGAATACTAAATGCATTTAAATTAGGCTTCTTTAGCTTTAGTAAAGTAGAAAGGGTTATCAAGGAAGGAAGAATGAGCAGGAGGTTGGAAGAGTGTGAAGCTGTGGTAGCAAGTAATGTCTCGCTCATTGTAGGCAGAGATGGCCTTATGGCTCATCTTCAGAGACAGGTATCCATGGAAGAACCACATCATGTCTACCAAGGAGATCCCGTCAGCCCTAACACAAGGTGGTAAATACGTGCCTCTCCTTGCTATATTTCTATCAATGCTGTTGTATGTTCAAGACTGGGAGAAGTATTTGTCCTGAGTCTGCGTCCCTCCAACTCTGAACTCATGCTGATCCAAGCTTCCCACCTGCAAATACTGCAGAACCTTTGTAATCTCTCTCCTAAAGCCTGGTCATCATTGGCATCTAACAATATGACCAACCTTGACATCTTAAAATCTACATAGTTTCAAAGCTGAGAGACATTTTTCCTTTCATGAGGTCATAAAAACTGAAGCAGATACATACAATTTCTGTATAAAATTATTTTTAAATTTAATTGCTTAAGCATATTAATGTTTAATTAATTATTTATTAAATATTGTTCAATAAACAATATGAAATATTATGTATTAATTACAGATAATTATAAATTTCCCCTTTTATTGTGATTATTTTTACAGATTCTTGTTATCATTATAATAGTTTAAATAAGCTATGAGTCAGGCCATAGAGCCCCTACTCCATGTTTTATTATTCAAATATGGTGTGTACCGTGTGTTAGCATGAGATGCTATTTCATAAAGACAGGAATTACTTACGGTCACGGTACCAAGAAGCTCAGTATACAAATCTGTTAGTACAGCAAAATGTACAACTGCATAGCAATTCAGATGAACTGGTAGACTTGGATTGTAGGGAACTTCTTTTCCAGTGATCTGTATGAAGCAAAACAGATAACAGCCTTCAACAATGACCTGCTGCACTGTTATTCCTTAGTATTTTTTATTTAAAAAGTAAAACAGATTAAGAGAAATAGATGATTGCACAAAAATAATCTGCTATCAAAATTATGTACTGCCTAGGGTGAGACAGTTTAACTCTGTCTGTGTATGTATCTGTTCACAGTGGAAAGAAAAAGAAAAATTACCATACTCTACAGAACAATTTTGAAAATCTCTTTAGGAAATGAATAATTAAAAGATAAATTAAAAAATATTTTTTTCTTTCAAATAAAAAGAAAAAAACACAGTTGAAACATTCATTTCCTTTAGTTTCTGTTCCCATTTCATCTTCCCCTAGGCTTTACGACTGCTAATTTGCTAATTTAAAATAACATGTGTAGAGTTTTCAACATTGATCCAGTAGCATTAGGAGGTCCAACTTAATTAGACAAAACTGAAAGCCTGTGCATGTTCTATTTACCACTGGGATTTCCTCAGGAAGGCCAAGTCTAGGTTTGCCTGGTCCCCAGCCTGGCCCTTTGAATATGACAGAAAGCTTGTTGCAGAATCCAGGTGTGGCCCAAAGCGTGCTCCAAATATGTGCCAAGGGACGCAACTGAAAAAAAAGAGCAAGTAATTTTTCATTGGTAGTAAAATAAAATTTACCAAAACATTTTATTTTTTTATTCATTTTTACCTCTCAAGGAAATGATTTTTTAAAGTTGTAAAGAGAGTAGATTAGGAATAGATTAAGACAGTCAGAAGTTCAGAAACCTTGACTGGAATAGGTAGGAGTCATAGCAGGACCTTGGTTTATCGTGAGGATTACAATTACTTCTGCCCAGAGGAAAATGTGTCTCTCCTGTAATCAATCCAGAGTTTGTTTGTTTGTTTGTTAATATTAAAAAAAACGTATTCCATCTGTTCTGTAGGTTTTGTTGAGACCATGATGGCTGCTATATGATGCTGCCAACACAAATCATTCTGGACTGCCTTCAACAGGAAATATGCAGAAAATATAAAAATAGCAAAGATATTACACTATGGGATTATGAAATAGCAATATTTAGAGAAGAAAAACATCAGACAAAAATATGTATTTTTGCCTGTGCATATTGCTTGGATTACGGCAAAAGGGACATCATTCAATCTAAGGCCTCTTATATAGCTGCTGTATTTGTTAATGTTACTGTATTTTCATGATGATTACAAACTCTGCATATGCTCAATGAAGTAATTAGAAGTATTTGTTTTGTAATTAAATACTGAAGAAACTGTAGATAATTTTATTGACTGTGCAGCAATGCAAAGATGGCCTCAACTGTGCCTAAGAGAGGAGTTTCTTCTGAACATGAGTGTCTGTTGAAGATACCAGAGTTGGTGATACAAACTATAGCACCTGGAGCATGATGGGATCAAATGAATTTACTGGATGGGTTAAGCCATATACAACTTTTGCATCTTCTGCCTCAAATGTTCCTGATGGAAGAAAACCAAAAAAAACAATGAACAATCAAATTCAAAAGTACCAATATTTTGCCACACTATCTAAACATGACAGAGAAAGCCTTTTTTTTTTTACTTACCAAATATCCTGTCCCAGATGATGAGTGTGCCACCATAATTTTTGTCAATGCAGTAAGGATTTCTACCTACAATAAAAACAATGGATGAGATCAGTAATTGCATATATAAGAATGTGCACAGCAGAATTATGGAGGGAAATCTTCATCATTAGCATCAATTTATAATATAACAATAATTTTAAAAGGTAGCTAACCTAGCACTCCTTATATGTCTATAATTTTTTTATTTTTCTTACTAGGCTTATTGCTCTTTTTTTTACTTAGATCCAAACATACAAATCAAATAATGTCACCAGTTTATACCTTAGAAAATATATGCTTAATGCATTTATGCACAATCATCTCACTAATGGCTTTCAGCTGTCTCTATCTTCTATGCCCTAAGTCTGATCGTGCCTTCATTATTATCAACTCCAGTGTGAGGAAAACTGACTCTTCTGGTTTTGAGGGTATGTATTAAATATAATCTGTCCTATCAAAAGTATGAACAAAGAAATATTGATTAACTATTCCCAAGTCTGAAGCAACTATACAACACTTGACCAACTCTGGAGTGACTGTTTAACTCCAATCAGGATCAGAGGATTAGTTTGGATTTACAGCAGAGCAAATAAGAGTAGAGTGTTTCCCTCCAGGATTACCAGTGCTTGTGCAAATTTTAAGGATTAGACACTTAGAGCACTACAGGCTTTAAAAAAAGTCTACACAGTGCTATAAACACTTTACACATTAAGGGTATAATAAATACTGAGTGATGATCTGCTTGAGGGGAGGAAGGCTCTGCAGAGGGACCCAGACAGGCTGGATCAATGGGTTCAGGCCAATTGTACGAGGTTCAACAAGGCCAACTGCCGGCTCCTGCACTGGGGCTGCAACAACCGCAGGCAACGCTACAGCCTTGGAGAAAAGTGACTGGAAAGCTACCCGGAGGAAAAGGACCTGGGGGTGCTGGTTAACAGGTAGCTGAATATAAGCCAGCAGTGTGCCCAGGTGGTCAAGAAGGCCAACAGCATCCTGGCTTGTATCAGAAACAGTGTGGCCAGCAGGACCAGGGAAGTGATTGTCCCACTGTACTTGGCACTGATGAGGCTGTACCTGAAGTATCATGTTCACTTTTGGGCACCTCACTACAAGAAACACATTGAAGTGCTGCAGCGAGTCCAGAGAAGGGCAGTGAAGCTGGTGAAGGGTCTGGAGAACAAGTCTTACAAGGAGTGTCTGAGAAAATTGGATTTGTTTAGCTTGGATAAAAGGAGGCTGAAGGGAGACCTTCTTGCTCTCTACAACTACCTGAAAGGAGGTTTTAGTGAGGTGCAGATCAGCCTCTTCTCTCTACTAATGAGATAGGAGAGGAAATGGTCTCAGTTGTGCAAGGGGAGGTTTAGACAGAATATTAGAAGAAACATCTTCAGTGAAGGGGTTATGAAACAGTGAAACCGGTTCCCAAGGGAAGTGGTGGAGTCACCATCCCTTGAGATGTTTAAAAGATGTGTAGATATGGTGCTAAGGGACAAAGTTTAGTACTGAACTTGGTAGAATTAGGTTAATGGTTGGACTTGATTATCTTAAAGGTCTTTTCCAGCCAGAACAATTCTGTGATTCTGTGATTTGAGTCTGTTTCAAATTATTTTGTTCTTCCACTCCTCTGTTACTTTCTTACTTGCTATCTCTGCATTCTGAATGAGCCAAAAGCATTTATTAAATCCACTTGTATTCGTATGATATGTTAATGACATTTTTCATGAGTTATTAATCTAATTTATACACGCAATCTAATTTATACATGCAATATGGTCTTTCAATGCCTGGAATATTAATGAAAATTCAAGCATCACACACTTGTGTGAAGTGAGATTACTTCATTATTATTATTATACAAATAGTGTCCATGAGAAAAAAACATACCAAAGAATAAGAGGTTACAGTTTTAGCTTACCATGGTGAACTCTGTGATGACTGGGAGTATTAAGAATCCACTCCAAGGGCCCAAGGTTGGTAATAACCTTCAAAAAAAGTAATGTTTCAAATAATTTGAAAATACTGTATAAAAATCAAGGAGAAAAGAGGGGGAGGAAATGCATAATGTTTATTTTAAGGATAATTTAATAAAATACAAGAATACAAATGTTTTGCCTGAAGCATTTCACTGCATTACTGTTACAAGGATTTTCATGAAAAAAAGTGAAATTTAGTAACATGCAAGTTAAAAATTAAATTTCTTTTTGATCCAGCAGCATGTTTTTGTCTTTTTTTATTATTATTATTTTCAGCTCATGATTTCATAGAAATCATTTAACTCGCATCTTTTACCTACACCCACTTAGACTGCTTGAGATCCAATGTAACTCTAAAACTCCAGTTATGTGAAAATTTTACATCAACAAATGGCTGGTACTGACACAATAACAGAGTAAGTATCACAGAAACAAGTATTCCTTCTCTCTTCAGGACCTTTGCTTGTTCCTTCAACCAATACCCTTCTTTCACCCCGGCACAAATGCAGAAACACAACAAACCTGATTAGGAAACTCATGCAAGTTAAGACTAATTTTGTTTTTGTTTCTCTAAATTTGTTAACTCAATCAGTTTCCAAATCTGATCCAACATATGCTCACAAATATGCTGGTATGAGTGAGAGGCATGAAAATAAAGTAGACCAGAAAAATTCACAGTGGAGCTGTGATCTAAGGCAATGATCAGAACTGAGAATCCAAGCTTGAAAACATTTTAGCACCAGATCAAAAATTACAGAAAATGTTTATGGCAATGAACTCACCCTAATGATTCAAGTTTTGTCATAAAATGCTGATGAATAAAGTTTGTATCAGCAGGCTTCATGCTACATTAGTACTCTCCTGTATTATGGAGCCAGAGGAAAGCCAGAATTAACTTCAAATGTTGTGCTTTGGTTAATTCAACAGAAGTTATGTGGACATCCAAATGCAGCAACCAGTGCTTAATCCCAAACACAAAGCAATCAGTCACGAACAGATGAGATCACTGGATGATCAAAAAGTATTTATGTTCAAATACGTCCTAAAATGGTATCTATTCACCCTGTCTGATTACGACCATAATGTATTGCAATTAAAAGAGTGGGGATAAAAAGAAGCTAAATAAATATGCTTAGACATTAAGAGGCAAAATCCAGAAACCATCACTTTGTCTTTCAGATAACTTAATTAGTAAATTTAATACTCATGTGGCAGAAGTGAGTGATCTGTAATACAATAATAGAGATAACATTGGCAGGAAGACAGTCATTACTCATGAGAGTAGGCCCATTAATCTAAATAACAACACAAAAAGATCTTCATTCATCTAATTTTTACCAAACAAGGTCCTAAAATATGCCAGTTTCATTTCTGTTTAAATTCACACTTGTGCAAGTGAAAGTAGATCTGGACTCAAAAAGTAGACAAAAGACATTCGTCACATGTATTTAAATCTTAATGAATCAAGTAAAAATCACAATAAAATGAATAAATAAATGTTTTTCTTTTTTGTTTTTAAAAACATTAAAGGAGTATAGAAATGAGCAGATTCTTAATCAGAGAATGTGGAGCATCAGTCTCAAAATCCTGTACACACTTGACTAGGAAAGCAAAATACTGGGACAATGTTTTTTTTTGTTTTGCTTAACTCAGAAGCCAAGGACAACATAAGTAGGATCATTTGGTTTTCTCAGTTTTCCCTCAAAATAAGTTCAAGCCTGAAAAGACCACCTAAAGGTGAGAAACAATTAATCATTCATGCTAGATCCATTTCCCACCTCTCTCAAGCAGAAAATCCCACTGTTTAAAGCTATGCGAGATGTGACTAGTAAATTAATTTAATCTGAGTCAAATGTCTTGGACTGAACTGCAGTCTAGAACCTGAGAGAGCAGTGATTTTTCTATTAGATCACACTTAACTTTTATCCACTTGGTTTAAATATATTGTTAACTTAGTATTTTAACAATTTTTCAAATCTACTGAAATACCTTCTCTATAGCATCATCAGTGATTGATACCTGAGCCTACTTCAATTCATTATTCAGCCATTGGAAAGAAACACTAGCCACACACTGATGGAAATATCATCTGGGATGGTACAGACCTCTGTAACTGACCAAGTAAAAATCCAGCATGCTGAAACAAGCAATCCATAAAACATCACTTTGGATAAAACACATGAAAATACTTTTTCATCAGCTATTCAAAATGGTACAGGGTGCTATTTCTAGAAACTTCCTTTGCTATCAATAACTTCTACATATTTGACTTGTAAGGAAATTCAATGTGGTATAATAGCAGTCCACGTTCAAAAGAATGCCTAACAGGCAACACAGGAGAAAGGCAAAGGCAGGTCCTGCACCCACCATTTACCTTTCAGCTGTTGGTTTACCCGTGTTTCTGTGCCTTTGCTGTGTCTAGACATTTTCCTTTATGAACAGCAATTGCAAAGAAGCTGCTAAGTGTTCATGATAGCAGTGGTCAGGTTTACACTGCAATTGCAACAAGTCACGAAAGCAAATATATCACCAAATCTCAGTCATCCAAGAGAGCAAAATATTTTCATCTTTAAATAGCTTAGTATTCAAAATTGCTTTTGAGAACAAGAATTTTTATAATGCTCATATTTTAGGAAAACAAAAATAAACATTTTAAAACTAATGGAATAAATGTGGCAAGAATACCAAAATGGTTCAATTTTTGTGGCTTGAAATCAGAATTTTCATTTAAAAGAAAAGTAAAAAAAAAAAAAAGTGGAAATGTCATTATTTAATATCCTTATTAATTGTATTTAAACCCTATTTCCTACTATTGAAAGGACAAAGAGTTTGTCAATACAAATATTCTTGGAGTGATTTCGGGAACAGAGAAAGCTACCAATGCCCTAAAAAGCTGAAACACCCCAACTGTTGTCCGACGATGACCTTATCTGTACTTTGACCAATACAGCTGGGGGCTTAACGCTTGTGTTTCTTTCCCTGATACAGACACCTACTGTTCTAAATCAATTCCTGTCTCCAATTTTTCCTCTCTCAATTAACACATCATGTGCACCTCAACTCCCATGCCAGTGACCTACAGACGAACTGCAGCATTCCAGCAAAACTCTTTTCCTGTTTGCTTTGCTTATTTCTTAACATAAAAATAATTTTTCACTTGCCAAAACCTTTACAAATGGAGTCAACAAACTACCTAAAAAGATATGTAGGTATCTTGTGTATGCCAGGTATAAAAGCTTTGTCAGATCTCTCCACAAAACATTCATTTTTATTTTTTTATATTTTATTAAAAAAAACAACAACCCAGCAACCAAAAAACCCAACCAACCAAAAAAACTCTCAAAAAACCAAAAACAAAACCCAGAAAACCAAACACAAACAAAAAACATATTCCTTCCATTATTGCACTTAGGTATCATTAAGTAATAAAGCAGAATTACTGATAACACTTACAGCAACTCCAAGAACAGTTCAATACATAAGGCAGGCTAAAAGCTGCATGCTTGGAAACAGCTTCCATACATTACCAAACAAAACATGCTGGAAGTGAAATCTTCACATATAATGAGAAATAAATGTGTTTTTTCTTTCCTGGAATAGTAGTTCTTATATAAAGATGTCTCCTCTGTGACAGCAATCCCTAGCCTAAGGGAAAAGAACACTACGCAGTATCTCCTGTGGCATGTAAGCACCTCCATTTGCGGTCTCAGAGTTTGTCAGCACCAAGGGAAATCTTTATTGCCTGGTACCTGCACCACTTCAATGTAGTTCTTGTTTAAATAATGAGAAAAAATCGTGACATGAAATCCAAGGGAAACCTTACATCTTGTGTAACAACTCCTCCTGTCACCACTACAACATGAATCTTTACTTAACTCTATTTCAACATGAATGTTGGGAAGGAATGTTGACTGAGTTGAGCAGGCAATGTTACAGTAAAAACCATTCATATATAAAAAGTTTGGTTTTTTATCTTTTAAGTATAAGAAAAGAATAACTTTCAGTATCATAATGTTACTGATCAGGATCAGGACAGGAGAGGGTAAATTCATCCCTGGAGCATCACTAAGGAGCATTCTGAAGTTAATTTTGGGGTTTTGGTAAGGTAAGTTAGTAGTAAACCACATGTTGCTATTGATTTTCTTATCGAAATCAAGAAAATATTTTTATTCCTGATATATAAATCAGGATATGTATTTCAGACAGTCTGGTGGGGAAATGTAAAAAAAAAGACCTTAATTACATTCCCCAGTAGAGCTGCTGTGTTAATTCAGGACAACACACCCATGTATTTATACAGATGGCCCTGGTCATCAGATTTGCCATGTGAAATCTCTACAGGGAAGCTAGGGAAAGGCAAAACTCCTAGGATATGTGCTTGCCTGCCAGTTTCACACTTTGAAATCCTCAGCAAACCCTGATTTATACACCACCAACTGTTTTCCTATCTGATTAGGCAGTTTTCTACTCGAGTAAGCATGTAAAATGGATGTAGCCAAATTTCCACACTGAGGAGCGAAAAAACAATATTTATAGTTTAGAAGTAAAACAAGCAAGAGGAATCAGGCCTGTTGGGATCATAAAGAGTTTCATAGGGGGTGAATTTCTGGTAAACTTGGGTTGTAGGAAAGGGAGGTGAAAGCCTAGTTTTAATGGATAGTCCGGTTTAGGGCATATTTATATAATAAACAAACAGACTTAAGAAATGTGTTTATAATAAATTATCTTGAAGGTAGGCTGTTGTCACTTTTCATTGTTTTACACCTCAACCAGGATGTAAGGTTTGAATCAAATTGGCATCTTCTGTGAATATTTAAGTTAACACTTCAATAAGTGGATGAAACACTTTTTTTCTCTAAAGGTTGAATTGAGCCTTGTTGTGGGAAAGATGAGCACTACAGGAAGTTTCAGTCATTTTGTCTACTAAAAATCAGACAAAACCTACACTAACTGGCTGTTTTAATTGCAGCATTATAAATAGCAGAGCACAAAGAAAGTCACTTTTTCAG